CAAAAGGCCAAAATGGGGCCAAAACCATATTCAAACCAATGATTCTGGCTTCCTCGCCGAGGCCGTTTTGGGCGCTCGAACTACCCGCGACCGGCCCCATCCAGGACCAGGGGAGGGGGTAGGGGGAAGGGGTAAACCCCTCCCCGCAGGGGAAGAAGAGGGTTGGAAGAGGAACCTCCCTAAACCACCTACGTCCTAAAGGGCTGGTGGGATTTAGATAATGTAGCGTATGCCGAGCTGTGGGGGCAGCTCTTCTTACCAAGGCTTCAGATCTCACAGCTGAGGTCACAGTTGTCAATATTCGAAGTCACCAGTTTCGGGCCAACGCTAGCGCCCAAGGCGCGGCCTGGTGGGCCTGGCGAGGGAATCGCGAACCGACCGTGTGGCCAAGCTAGGAGCACAGCAGCACTTGGTCCAGCCTGAATGAATGAATGAGCTCAAGGCCAAGGACCTCCAGGTTCGGGGTCGGGCCCTGCTTTTGGCCCGTGTCTATGGGGCCTCGGCCGAGGCTCAATCCTCCCAAAGTTCTCGAGCTGGTGCCTGAGCCAAACGGGCATCGGATAATCGAGGTGGGCAAGAGATCCGCCTGCATGAGATGCGGCGCCAGAGACTGGTCTCGAGGCGCCATCTGTGCGTTTCCATGTTCAGGCCTCCCCTGAGCTGCTCGGCTCGCACATCCCATGCATCGACTCAGGTGCGGGGATGGAGGCATAATCTGGTGCAGTTTATGCCGGGCGTTCGGCAACAAGAAGGTCAGGCTCCTTGCTGAGAGGAGCTAGCATATCCCTGAGCCTTCTGAAGAGCTGGGTTGCCCGCGGCTCCAAGGTTTCGTTCGGGAAGTCCTTTCCGCTGCATCGGAGTCACCCCTTGTTTTGCGCCACGTGTTACGGAGCGGGACGTGGTGCGCCAAAGACCGAGAGGATTTAGAGGTGGAAGAGGAGGAGGGAGGCAGAGGAGGAAGTGGAGAAGAAGGAGGATACTGGTGGACGACGGAAAGGGGCAGAAGGAGGATGGCGATGGGGTGGTTGTGGAAGCATGCGAGGCTTGGGCTGTCTTCGGCGCCTTCAGCCGAACATGTTGAAGGAAAAGCTGGGAGGTGTTTTTGCTTCTCGGGACGACCCCCACGGCCCCCAAGACAACCCAAGATACTTCCAAGAGGGCTCCAAGATGGCCCTTGTTCCCCTTTGGAGCATCGTGGAAGCTTGGGTTCCAAGCCGTGCTCCTCGGGCTTTTGAAAAGAACATCGAACAAATCCCGCGGGCGCCCAGAAGCACCCAGAGTTCGGCGGCCCAGGCCCCTCAAAGAGCACGTGCAGTGTTCCACAACCGGGGACTCTGAGGGACCTGTGCGCGCTCCACTCCGTGCGGCACGGTGGCAGGTGAGATGATGCAAGCAGTGAGAGCCCTCTGGGCGAGCTGGGTCAGGGAAGACTGCAACGTGGCCGCCTGGCCCTCTCTCCAGACTCCTCCTCGGGTGCCCAGAGGGGGCAGGCCCGCTATCGACTTCCGCGGCGACTCCGCCAGGCTCGTCTGCGTCGAGCGCCTCGACGCGGGCCGTGCCGAGGTGGTGGCGGCCAACCAGTTCGAGGCCTCGAGAGGGGCTGGGGATGATGGCGATCGCAAGTCGCCGCCGACTCCTCCGGCCTCCGCCGTCGCCATCGGTCCGTTTACCGCGCGGGCCCCCTGAACCTCTGGACCCCGGCCCCAGGGCATGTCTGGTCCAGAAAGAAGAGACCAGTCGCGGGCCGTTACCTGGTGGCCCCTGTGCCTGAACACGTCTTCTCAGCGACCGTGACCGCGGGAAGACGCCCAGAGGCCTGGGCCCGCCCACGCCCCCACCCGTGCGGCAGCGGCGCCCACAGTCGAGGTGCTACCCCCAGAGGCGCCTTGAATCGGCGGCGCACGGGCCTCTGCCTTGCTGCAGCTGGGGCCTCGCGCGCCCGGGGCACTCGCGGCAAGCCAGACTGGATTGCTCCGCAAGGGAACCAATCGATTGATACTCGTGTTTTTTTGCGAATTCACAAGCATACAGGTCGCCGTCGAGGGATTCAGGTGTTGGCATCTCGCCCCTGGAGGATGCTGGTGGAAGGCAGACGGAAGTAGATGTGGACCCCCGAGGATGTCAACGCTGGCGTACGCATCCCGGCTTCTCAGCCTCGGCCACATGGCAACGGAGCGCTTGTTCTGTTCCCAGAATGCCCACTCGGTCTCCCGTCGCACAGACCATCCGACGTCTCTGCACACTGACCCCGCCACGAGATATGCACTTCGCGCGCCTGCGCTGGAGCTCGGTTTGCAGGTACCCACAGGAATCACACGCTGTGTGGCTGAAGCTCCAGGGGGCAGCTCGTAAGAATTGGGATGACTGACGCCAAGGGGCAACAGGCTCAAGGTGGGATAACCAGGCACATTCCCAAATCATCTTTGCTAGCTCCCCTCGGCGCCCTTGGTCTGTAGTTATTCCGCTGGGGGTAGGAGTAGGGGTGGTATGGATAGTATTATTTGAAGGTCCTTTTGTGGAGTTGACAGTATTGCTTGGTGTGGAAGATAATTGGGGTGCTTGTGGTTACGGCGCAGGAGCAGCAACCAGACCTGGGGGTGCTTGGGCACATAGCCGCCGAGCGCTTGCAAATACAGCGATGGTCGTCCTGACATATGCCGTGCATGCTTGTCCTCGCATCTCCAATGTTGACACTCGGGTGGCCCCCTTGCTGGTCGCGGCCGCTCGCGGCTCGCAAAACCAGTGAGAATGTTGCCGGGGAAGGTCACCAGGAAATTTGTTGAGCGGATCCTGGCAGGAATGATGAATTTCCTTAGTAGAGGGGGAGGGGATATCGCACAAGTGAGCTTTTCGAAGGATCCAACCCCATGCAGCTTCGTGTAGCGCAGTGTGTGGCCCTGACTTCATTGATTGCGTGCTGCAGGGCAGTGTGGATGTTCGGCTGCGGAGCAAGGGCACAGAGGCATGCTGAACTCCCTGAAGGGCGCGAAAAGTGTCAGGAGGTGCCTGAATTGGCAGGGGGACGCTATGCGGGCTCCCTCACTGATGCCGTGCTTGGAGCTGCTTGCCGGGGCAAAACGTGTGAGGGCGTGCTAGAGTAGACAGGGGACGCTGTGCATGCGCCACAACAGGTGCCGTACCCATGGGGCACGAACATTGTGAGGGTGTGCTGAATTTTGTTGGGGAGCGCAATGATGGCCCACTCAACAGTGCCATAGGTGGAGCACCCTCAAGCGTGAGCCGGCATGGGCGCGGGGACACCATGTGTGTGTTGTGTGTGTGTGTGTGTGTGTGTCTGCGCGTGTGTGTGTGTGTGTGTGTGTGTGTGTGTGTTCGTGTGCGTGTGCGTGTGCGTGTGCGTGTGCGCGTGCGTGTGCGTGTGCGCGTGCGTGTGCGTGTGCGTGTGCGTGTGCGTGTGCGTGTGCGTGTGCGTGCGGGTTTGTGTGTGTGTGTGTGCGTGTGTGTGTATGTGTATGTGTGTGTGTGTGTGGCTGTGTGTGTGTGCGTGCGTGCGTGCGTGCGTGCGTGCGTGCGTGCGTGCGTGCCTGCGTGCGTGCGTGTGTTTTGTCTGTGCGTGGTGTGTGTGTGTGTGTGAGAGGGATGGGAGAGATCGAGAGAATGTTACGTGTTTTGTGTTTGCTTGTTTGTTTGTTTGTTTGTTTGTTTATTTGTTTGTTTGCCTGTCTGTTTGTTTGTTTGTTTGTTTGTTTGTTGGTGTGTGCTTGTCAGTGTTTGTGTTTGTGTGCTTGTGCGTGTGTGCCTAAATGGGCGCGGGGACGCCATGCGGACGCACCCACTGATGCCATAGCCGCGGTAGGTGGAGCATCCTGTGGGGGCACGATCCGAGTGAGGGGCGTGCCGAAATGGGCGGGGAGCGGCATGCGAACACATCCAACGAGGCCCGACGTGGAGCTCCTGATGGATGCGCGAAGTGCTTGAGGGATGTGTGCCGAAGTGGGCGCGGGGACGCCCTGCGAACCACTGAGAACGTAGTTGGAACTTCCCGTGGGGTACGAGGCGTGTGAGGGGCGGGACCCCCCCCTAAAAAGCAGTGCTCATCTTTGTCGCCGTCCCATCCGCGCGCGGACCAGTTCCTTGGATGATGTGCGTGCGTGCTGCGCGCTAGCCGAAACAACTCAGCAGGGTGGGGATGCGCGAGACGTGTGAGTGGCAGGAGACGCCCGCGGGCGGGGGACGGCATTCGATGTGGGGCACCAGACGTGCGAGGGGCGTGCCGACCTGGGCGAGGGGAGTGCAGCCGCAGGAGGAGACGGATGCGGAGACGGGGGAGGAGGAGAGGAGGAGGAGGAGGAGGAGGAGGAGGAGGAGGAGGAGGAGGAGGAGGAGGAGGAGGAGGAGGAGGAGGAGGAAGGAGGAGAGGAGGAGGAGGAGGAGGAGGAGGAGGAGAGGAGGAGGAGGAGGAGGAGGAGGAGGAGGAGGAGGAGGAGGAGGAGGAGGAGGAGGAGGAGGGGAGGAGAGGAGGGGGAGGAGGAGGAGGAGGAGGAGGAGGAGGAGGAGGAGGAGGAGGAGGAGGAGGAGGAGGAGGAGGAGGAGGAGGAGGAGGAGTTGCTCCCTACTCGCTCTGGCTCCCTCCTGGCGAACGCCTTGTGGGTAGCGCATGGGAGGCCAGGGGGCGCGGCCCCGTCGCCGCCGCCGCCGCCCACTCCGGGGTCAGTCCACGGGCGACGGCTGGAAGATGGTCTACCACGCCGCGGGCATCTGGGAGAGCCCCGGCGACGCCGCGGCCGCAGAGCCGCGCGCGCGCCCGGACGTCCTCTCTCGCCCCTGCGCCGCGTCTCGGCTACACGGACGCCGGCCGCCCTGTCCAGGGCCGGCCTCTCGAAGGCCTCGCCTTCGAGGGTCGAAGGAGTTGCCATCTTTTCCTCGGCGGGAGGCGGCGGAAGGGCAGCGGAAGGCGGCGGAAGTACAACGAGGCCGCCTCCGCCAGCGGAGTCGGCGGAAGGCCGGCGGAAGGCGGCGGAAGTAAAAGCTACGCCCCCAAGAGATGACAACGGTCTCAGGTTCAGGGTTTCTGGAATCGGCCATGTGGGTGTTGGTGCGCAGTGGCCTGCCAGCGTTGTTCCACGATGTCCTCAGGGGGGCCACTGGTGTTCTGCAGCACCTCATGGAGATTTACGGCCGATGGGCCAATGGGTCCCAAGATGGCGTGCACCACGATGTTCCGCCGCTTGGGATTGCTGCAGCAGTCCACCATCCACTCGTTGTATCTGCATTGGCGAAGCCTGAATCACATCATTCGATCTTCGCCTACCGTCTCCGATTCGCAGTTTGAGCCGCGCATTATCATACGCACTGGATTCGGGGGTCCCTCCTTCTGTCTCCCCTCCCCCGCCCACAAGCTCGGAAGAGTCGCAGAGGGCGACCTGGATCAGAAGGCCCTCCAGCTCTGCGAGGGCGTGCGGAGCACGAGCTTCGAGAAGGCGGGCGCCCTTCCGAGGAGCCGCCCCGTCTTCCTGGGCGCGGCCTGTCCCTGGCCCCGCCAGCCCCCGGCCCCCCGACGCAGGCGTTGCGGCTATCCGGGAGCCCCCGCTCGGTGCCCTCCAGCGTTGCATCGGCAGGGGGCCCGCTTGTCGTTCCATACAGTGGAGGCGCGCGTCAAGAAACCAAGTGCCTTTCGCCAGGGTGCCCCGGGTTTCTTCGATCCGCGCGCTGCGCGGTGACTTCCCGCGGCCGCTCAGAAGCTGATGCGCTCCAGGTGCTCCGGGCTTCCCCTCAGGTGTGCCCCGCGTGCGGGTGCTCAGGGTTGGGCCTCTTGCGATGGCTTCTTGCGACCGCGCCCGCACTGCACACGCGCTTCCCTCCTCAGCGCCTGCGCTGAAGTGGGGGCCTCCTCCAGGGCCGCGCCCGGCGCCGCGTGCGGCGCGACATTCGCGGAGCTGGGCGACCGGGATGGGCATGGCTTTCACTTGGGCGGTGGACGATTTGTCGAATATCTTTCATGATTTTCAGCACCCACCAAGCCACCCCAACCCAACCCGAAGGCCTCCTCACTTTGCCTTCCATTTCCAGTGTGGGGGGGGTCGGGGAACGTTGACAAAACCACCGATGGAACCCGTACCCCCCCGACGCGAAATTCGGGTCAAGTTCGGGTCTTCGGGTTGGGTTGGGTTGGTCTGGTAGGTAGTCATATTTGGGGTATTTGCTGACTACTGTAAGTTTTTCCCCCCAAATCCGCCTGTAAGGGGAACATGCCCGACCCAGCCTGACTCGAAAGCAGGAAGGCGACGCCGGATGAGATCTGGGAGCGGAGGCGGCCCCGCAGTCGAGGGAGGCCCCCTTAGCGCAGACCAAGCCCTCCGACACTCCGATGCTTGTTCGAGTCGCCGGCCCCCGAGGCTCTCGCGACCCCTTGCTCAGGGACGGCTTTTCTGATTCTGAGCCGTTTCTCGGCGGTCCTGGATCCCAGAGGCGGCCCCCTGGAGGCCAGAAAGGGCGACAGCGACCCCTTGCTCGGCGACGGTTTTTCTGATCCTGAGACAGTGTTTGGCGGTCCTGGATCCCAAAGGCGGCCCCCTGGAGGCCAGAAAGGGCGACAGCGACCCCTTCCTTAGCGACGGCTTTTCTGATCCTGAGCCGTTTCTCGGCAGTCGTGGGCCCCAAAGGCAGCCCCCTGGAGGCTAGAAAGGGCGACATCGACCCCTTGCTGAGCCGTTTCTCGGCGGTCCTGGGTCCCAGAGGCGGCCCCCTGGAGGCCAGAAAGGGTGACAGCGACCCCCTGCTCTGCGACTGCTTTTCTGATCCTGAGCCGTTTTCTGGCGGTCCTGGGTCCCAAAGGCGACCCCCTGGAGGCCAGAAAGGCTGACAGCGACCCCTTGCTCGGCGACTGCTTTTCTGATCCCGAGCCCGTTTCTCGGCGGTCCTGGGTCCCAGAGGCGGCCCCCTGGAGGCCAGAAAGGCTGACAGCGACCCCTTGCTCGGCGACTGCTTTTCTGATCCCGAGCCCGTTTCTCGGCGGTCCTGGGTCCCAGAGGCGGCCCCCTGGAGGCCAGAAAGGCTGACAGCGACCCCTTGCTCGGCGACTGCTTTTCTGATCCCGAGCCCGTTTCTCGGCGGTCCTGGGTCCCAGAGGCGGCCCCCTGGAGGCCAGAAAGGCTGACAGTCCGTTGGCCCAATTTTCCTCCGAGTCGCCCAAGGCTTTGATTCGGCCTGGGGCGCGTTCTGGTGAGAAACTCGAAGCGGAGTGCAGCCGCGACGACGAGAACTCCCCCAGAGGCCCAACAACAACAACAACAACAACAAGACTGTGGGGGCGGTCGTCGGGTCCAGAGTCGGGGAAACGTAAGACTCGAGCACGCAGGAACTCGGGCTCGCCTCGCTTTTTGATGGGCCCGTCCCGAATTCTGGCGGTCCAGTTTTCGTGGGACTTGTGCAGCGGGGGCCGCGTCAACCTTCAGACAGGGTCGCGTCATTTTTATGATGTCCCCGTCGGGCCAACCCGAGTCCCTCTAACACGAGCGTTGGATGTCTGCAGCGAGAGCCCGCGTCGAATTTCACACTGGGCCGCGTCGTTTTTGTGATGTCCCCGTCGGGCCAGCCCGAGTCCCCCTGATTCGGTAGCAAGTCATGGAAGCCTGGCGTACCCTGTTATTTCCGTCTTTAGCGTCGACTGGCGTCCATTAGCGTCTGGGAGCTGGGAGGCAGCGCCGATTCGGCGTCGGCTGGCGTCGATCAGCTTCGATTTAGCGTCCACTGGCGTCGATTAGCGTCGATTCGCAAGAGCCGGTAAGATGGTGTGGGAGGCTCCCACGAGTTGCCGCCGAACCCTAACCCGAGTCTTGCGTCGCCCCGACGGGGGGGGTAGTCGTGGGGCCGGTGCGGCCGGCCGTGGTGCCACAGCCCGCGGAGAGAGGCAGGGGGGTTCGAGGAGGAGGATCGAGGAGGAGAGGATCGAGGAGGAGGAGGAGGAGGAGGAGGAGGAGGATCGAGGAGGAGGAGGATGAGGAGGAGGAGGAGGATCGAGGAGGAGGAGGAGGATCGAGGAGGAGGATCGAAGAGGAGGAGCAGGATCGAGGAGGAGGAGGAGGATCGAGGAGGAGGAGGAGGAGGAGGAGGATGAAAGGCATTGGGCTGAGGAGGCCAGCCGCGCGGCCAGGGGTCGTCGCCGTGTCGTCACCCCGCCGCCGCAGCGCGGCCCGCCGCCATCCAGCCCAGCCTCGCGCGCCGAGGCGCAAGTCGCGCCGTCAGCCGCAGGCGCCCGCAGGACGCCCCGACCCCGAGAACCCGCGTGGCACCGCCGTGCTAGAGAGCAGCGAGGACGGGACAGACTTCTTCTCAGGCTCCTGGGGGCGGCCCGTCGTCTCGAGTCACATCACTCGTCGCCCACCATGGGCAAAGGAGCCAAACAGGGGAAGAAAGGGAAGAAGGGGACGCAGCCAGACACAGTACGTTCCCACTCCTGGGCTTGCCAATGCGGGGTCAGTGTTTCTTTTAACAAGGAGTGGTGTTGGCAATGTGGCCAGCACTGGACGTCCCAGGGAGCATCAGAGAAGAAGAAGAAGAAACAACTACAAGGCAGTTCGGGTGACCAACCGCCATGGCAGGTCTCAAGTGTCTCTGCAGGATCCAGCAGCGCTTGTGTACCTACAGCAACACAGCCTGCGGTGCAGGCAACGGACTACGGCCAAATGATCACCCAGCTGCAGCACTTCGTCGATGCTGCCGAGAGGACGAATCAGCTCCCAGACTGTGTAGAGAAGGCCCGCAAAATGCTTGAGGACCTCAGGCTCAAGCGGGACGCGAACAAGACCCCGTCGCAGATGGCCCAGAGTGCAACGAAGAAGCTCAGTCTCAAGCAGAAGGCCTTGGAGACGCAGAGGGCCAACCTCGAAGCCGCGAAGACAGCTGTGGAGGAGGCCAGATCTTTCCTTACCAAAAAGTTGGATGCGGTCCAGACTGTCGAGAATGAGATCACCAAGGTCAACCAACAAATTGCTGAGCTGGAACAAGAGCAACATATGTGGATGGCAAAAGCGAGAATCACCCAGCAGAACCCGCAGACGGCAGCCACTGATAATTTTGGAGGTTTGCAGGCAGCCCTCTCCAGCATGGGCCAAGCCGCGGCCTCCGACCCTGCGCTAGTCACAGCTTTCTCAGCCTTGGCAACTGCAATAGGAAAGCATGTCGGGGGGGGGGAGCCGCGTCAGACCCACAGGGCAAGGCGCCCTCCCCTGTGCCTCCGTCCCTGCCTGCGCAAGCCAGTGGGAACGACGCAACTCTCACCCCAGTGCCGCCAGGGGAGCCGAACCAGAGTGCGCCAGGAGTAGGGAGCATGGACTCCAAGACCCTGGCAGCTATTGGTGGGCCCCAGAACGGAGAGCAGGCCAAGTGTGTAACCCCAGAGGAGCTGACGTCAGCTACCAAGGAGGTGCCAAGGCCGCCCAGTGATAATGAGCAGAAAAGGGATGGCGAGGGGAGGTCCAAGGCGAGATCCAGGTCCCGCTGAACAGCCCCCCCCCCCCCTCCCCACCCCCCCCCCCCCCCCCCCCCCCCCCCCCCCCGCACCCACGCGCGCGCTTTCCCAGCTGGGCGAACAGCTGGGGCAAGAACTGTGTAGATTTGTACGATTAATGGCACCTCGTGGAGCAACGCGAGGAACTTCCCACCTCAGTGCAAAGCTGAGATTGTGCTCGTACAGGAGCACGAACTGCAGGCAGCCCAGACTTTTGAAGTGAAAGCGGCCCTGCTGAAGCAGGGGTGGCAGAGCTTCTGGACGCCATGCCTCATGTCAGCCGAGGGATGCCCCTGCGGAGGCGTGGCTATCATCGCCAGGAAGCATTTAGATCTTTGGGTAGACCCTTGCAGACTCGGCATCATCGCACCAGGTAGATGCATGCATGCGTTTTACAGATCCAGGAAGTGGGGGCTCATCGGGCTCTATTGCAACTACTGGGAGGGCAGCGCAGGCATGGGGCCGCACAACCTACGGCTTGGGATGGACTTGGGTAGCCACATCCTCCGTGGGGGGATCCCGTTCATAGCTGGTGGGGGCTTCAACGTGCACCCTGACGTATTGAGGGCTGCGATAGACCCCATCCGATTTGGCGGCCGAGTGGAATGGCCAGCAGGAGAAGTCACCTACTCCAAAGGGGGGCGCACCTCCTGCCTGGACAACTTCGCGTTGAGCCACATGGGCCAAGGGACCAATCGGGCCAGGGTTGATTACAGCAGCGACATCCCCGACCACTGACCTGTGTATTTACAGCTTTTGGAGGACCCTGGTACCGCTACGGTCTTGAGGCTTCAGAAATATAAAAAGATCGGTCATGCTCGGATCCTGGGGCCTTTCCCCCAGCCGCCCGACTATTGCGATTTGCTTGAGACTATTGAGGGGTACTTAGGGATACAGGAACGACAACGGTACCTTCAGGAATGTTAAGGAGGGGGGCCTACCACGTTTGCAGGCTCTGCTGGATCAGGTGCGCGGAACCTGGGCCGCCG